AAGCTACAGTATGTTGTGACAGGAATTGTGCAGCAAGATATCTAACTCAAGTTAAAACACCATTTTTGATAGTGAAAAAACCTCCAAGTACCAATCACTGGGAACATCTATGAAAATCAGGCCACGTTTTTGGATTTGGGCACCAAAGTTTGAAAATTTTGACCTAAACTCCAATTGCAGGCCCAATTATGGCATTATATGGTTACCATTGGTTACATCCTACTGAAAGCACTATTTAAAGAAGAAACCCCGCCTCCCCCAGCCTATGAAACCCCAGTTTGAGTTTTCAGGGCTAGGAATTACAATAACCATATTTCTGCTTGCAAACAAAGTGAATTTAAATCATAGAAATGTAGGGCTGGAAGGGACCCTTAGAGGTCATCTATCCAGCCCTCTGCTGAGGCAGGATCAAGTATAGCTAGACCTTCTCTGACAGTTTTAGTTTAATCTATTCTTAAAAATCTCCAATGATGTAGATTCCACAGCTTCCCTTGGAAGCCTATTCCAGAGTTTAACTACCTTTATAGTTGGAAAGTTTTCCCTAATACCTAACTGTGGTGGGGTATACAAACACCAGACTGGAGAGCAAAGGGTTATGGTGCTCCTCTGGGCCCAGGAGGCCCTGCCCTTCTGCACCTACAAAACCTGCACAGGCTGGAGGAGGAGCTTAGAAAGGGGAACAGAGTAGCTCAGTAGCAGGCAGATAGTGGAGGTGAGCTGACTTACACTCTGAGCTCTTGGGAAGGAGCTCCACAGGAGCTCTAGCTGCTTGAGACCTGGCTATAGTGATGTGAACAAGCCTACAAAGAAAGGACCTGTAACTCTTTGAAGGTTAGAGACTTTATCTTTGTGTTTAATTCTTTACTTTACCCTGTGGGAAGAGGGGACTGGTAGGAAGTGATCCAAAGAGGTAGCTGCATAGCACTTGAAGGTGCAGGACGTAACTGCCTAATATTGGGCTCTGGATTAGTACCCAATGGAAAGAGTGGGTCTGGGCTCCCTTATCAAGCCCTAAAGAGGGACAGCTAAGGAAATCCATTTCTTGGTGGGGAACCTAGCTGGGAGAAGACCCTAAAGATGCAAGACCCCAACCCAAAGGGGAAGCTCTGAATCCCTTGCTTAATCCTGGTGACCTCGCTGTTATGGGACTCTCTATATATACCCTGAAAGTGGTGGACTAGAAAATGTGACCTGGCTGGAGAATTAAATCACTAAAAGGACAGATCACTGCAGGGTAGAGCAGTAATAAGAAAGGTGAATGCTGGGGAAGAAGTCAACCTGCCACATCCCCTCCTGATCATTAGGCGGCATTGGTGGTGAGTGTTCCCCTTCACACTAACCAAAATCTCCCTTGCTGCAGATGAAGCCAATTACTTCTTGTCCTACCTTCAATGGACATGGAATACTGATCATGGTTGCCTCCTTTGTCGTACATATACCATTCGGATTGATACATCCCAGAATATTAGTTTTTTTTCTCAACTGCATCACATTGTTGACTCATATTCAATTTGTGATCCACTATAACCCTCAGATCCTTTTCATCAGGACTGTTGCTTATCAAGTTATTCCCCATTTTGTAGTTTGTTCATTTTGATTTTTTTCTTTGCACTTGTCTTTATTGAATTTCATCCTGTTGATTTTAGACCAATTCTCTACTTTGTCAAGGTCCTTTTGAATTCTATTCCTGTCCTCCAAAGTGCTTGCAGTCCCTTCCAGCTTGGTGTCATCTGCAGATTTTATAAGTATACCCTCCACTCCATTATCCAAGGCATTAATGAAAATACTGAATAGTATCAGACCAAAGAGAGACCCCTGAAGGACCCCATTAGATACATTTCCCCCAGTTTGATAGCAAACCCATTGACAATTATTCTTTGAGTTTGGTCTTTCAACCAATTTTGCACCTACCTAATAGGGTTCATGTAGGCCACATTTCTCTAGTTTGCTTATGAATATGTCTTAAGGGACTGTGTTAAAAGACTTACAGACATTGTCGTACCATGTCTACAGCTTCTGTCTGATCCGCTAGGCCAATAACCCTGTCAACAAAGAAAATGAGTTGGTTTGGCACAATTTGTTTTTGACAAATCCATGTTGGCTATTACTGATCATCCTATTATCATTTAGGTGCTTACAACTTGATTGTTTAATAATTTGTTCTGGTAACTTTCCAGATATCAAAGTTAGGCTGGCTGGTCTATAATTCCTTGGGTCCTCTTTGTTCCCCTTTTAAAGATAGGTACTATGTTTGCCCTTCTTCAGTTCTCTGGGACCTCACTTGCCCTCCATGAGTTCTCAAAGATAATTGCTAACAGTTCTGAGATTGCTTCAGCTAGTTCCTTCAGTACTCTAAGGTGAATTTTGTCAAGCCCTGTTGACTGGAATACATCTAACATCTAAATATTCTTCACATATTCTTTCCCTATTTTGGCATGTGTTCCTTCCCCCTTGTTAATATCTGTTCACAATTCACCTTTTTAATGAAGACTGAAGCAAAATAGTCACTAAATACCTGAGCCGCCTTGAGGTCATTCCTTATTAGCTCTCTTTCCCCAATAAGAAGAGGACCTACACTTTCTTTTTTCTTTCTCTTGTACCTAATGTATTTATATAACCTCTTGTTATTGCCTTATGTCTCTTGCTAGGTATAACTCATTTTGTGCCTTAGCCTTTCTGATTTTGCCTCTATATACCGGTGCTATTCTTTTGAACTCATTCTTAGACATTTGTCCATGTTTGCACTTTTGGTAGGATTCCTTTTTGATTTTCAGGCCATTAAAGGGCTCCTGATGGAGCTATATTGGCCTCTTCCTTTTCTTTCTGTTTTTCCTTCACATCGGGAAGGAAATACTGTTGCTCCTTTAATACTGTCTCTCTGAGAAACTGCTAGCTCTCTTGAACTCCTTTTCCCCTTAGATTTTCTTCCAATGGGGCTTTACCTAAAATTTTCTGAGTTTGTCTGCTTTTTTGAAGTCCATTGTACTTATTCCCCTGTTCTCACTCCTGCCTTTCCTTAGAATCATGATTCTATCATTTCCTGCTCACTTTCACCGAAATTGCCTTCAGATTTGCAACTAGTTCCTCCCTGTTAGTTAGAATGATGTTTAAAATTCCTGTCCCCCTTGTTACTTCCTCCCTTCTGAAACAAAAGGTTGTCCCTAGTACATTTCAAGAACTTACTGGACATTTTGTGATATGCTGCATTAAAGTCTCCTATTACTACCACGGCTTGTGTGATTTTACTATGGAAGTCATTGGGTGATTTTTAACATGGAACCTTCAAGACCATTTTCACAGTAGCTTTGCAGAGTAGTTCCACACCTTAACTCTCATTAATAAATGTGCTATTTTGTTTGTTCTTTTACTAGTGTTTGCTTTAGCAAAGCTAACCCAGGGTAAGCTGATGGGCTGTCTGTTTAAAGTGGCAAAACCAAAGGGGTTGCAAGTACAGCTGGTTGGGAACTGGAATTTCCATTCTGTGGGAAATGCCAACATTTTTAAAAGTATTTTTTTGTTCCAAATTGGAACAAAAAGCAAAAGCTAAACTTTGAAGTTTACTATGAAATGAAACCCCCCAAAAATGTTTGTTTGGAACTTTTGAAAAAATTCATTTTGATAATGTTGAATCATTTCATTTAGATAAAAACATGTTACTGTAATAACAAAATGTTTCATCTTTTCATTTTGACTCATTTAATTTAGACTTTTATATTAAAAACAACGTGCATACTTATATTTAATATAAAAGTCTAAATGCAATGAATCAAAATGATAGTTAAAACAAAACATTTTCACCTTATCAAATGAAACATTGTGACCTCACGAAACTGAGAGAACCTCTAAATTGTTTTCACTTTTTCCCTGTTGAAAAACTCATTAAAAACTATGCATTCTCACAAAATGTTTTCTTTGACAGAAAATTGTTCTGTCAAATTTTTCAACCAGCTTTAATTGCAAGTCTGGTTAGTCTTTCCTGGTACCTTCATGCTATCACTAAATAAGGACTGCTGTATTAGAAGTCTCATAAAGATACGTTTATTGTCTATACCAGGGATTGGCAATCTTTGGCATGCCGGGAAATCCACTGGCGGGCTGGGACGGCTTGTTAACCTGCAGCGTCCACAGGTTCGGCCGATTGCAGCTCCCACTGGCCGCGGTTCACCGTTCCAGGCCAATGAGGGCTGCGGGAAGCGGTGGCCAGCACATCCCTCGGCCTGCACTGCTTCCCGCAGCCCCCATAGGGCTGGAACAGCGAACCGCGGACAGTGGGAACTGCGATCGGCCAAATCTGCGGACGCTGCAGGTAAACCGTCCTGGCCCGCCAGCGGATTTCCCTGATGGGCCGCACGCCAAAGGTTGCCAATCCCTGGTCTATACATATGCAAGTACAACTTCTCAATATTATGTCCCTGCCTACTGTGGAAATCTAATGAGCATCCTCAGTGAGCTGACCCACACACAGAAACGTAGCAGCTTCTTTGAAAAAAGCATAGTCATAATTTTTAGACACATGCATCTAAAATGACAACTATAACAGTATGAAAATTTACATTATAACAGCAATAATCATGATTTGGATTATTTTTTTGCCATTGTAAATTATAGTCATGGTCTGGTCATGGAAAAAGGCTTTATAGGCTAATAGAAATATCTTTTATAGTGCAGTAAAAATTGATTAAAAGCCATTTAGTAATTTTTAATAGTATAAAATCCATTTAACCTCCCGAGTCCAGCTGTTGCTCCTTGTTCAGCCCTGTAACAGCAGCAGTGCAGGAATGCAAGTGGAAGGGCTATTTTTCTTTTCCAGCCTTTGCAAAGTCAAAAGGCCGTCTAAGAAACTAAAGCAATAAAGCAGATATGTGTGAAGGATGCTGAACTGCATTGTTGTTAATGCTGAATGTTCACAGTTGCAAACAAATTATGTGGGCATAGTTAACAGTTAATATAAAAGAGATTGTTAATCATTTTGGATGTTCTCTGTTTAATGTTTCATTTAGTCAGAGAAACACAGTGCAAGTCAACCTTCATGCAAACATTCAGCAAAATCACAAAAAAGTCCCAAACCAGCAGATGGAAAAGCACCCTCAGTTTTTTATGCCAAAGAAAGCAAAGAAGTCAAGAAGGCAAGACCTGAAAGGACTACACCCCTGGGATCTGATAAGGGTAATATGAAATGCTGTTTCTGTTGTGTAAGGCAACAGTTATGTTTTAAGAATTTTGTTTTGATGAACTATTTCCATTTTTTGTTTTTTAAAGTCTATGGAATGGTTGCTGAAATGTTTCTATTAAATACTGTATAATGTATGAGGAGCAGAGAAGTGAAAAAATTTATTGCTCCTTTGGAAGTAGTACAGAGAAAACACACAAACCAACATTTAAAAATATAGGTGCATATAGACAGTCTTCTTAATCCATTATTTCCTCGCAATGTCCAAGTCATTTGGTCAGCCATTTTAGAAAGGATTACGATTAACATAACAGTATCAAAATCTATCAATTTATAATATTTATATCACTTATTTCTTGTATAAAATCATACTTTAGGAAAAAACCTAGCAGTTGTACTGTATACATACTATGTATATTTGTGTGTATATTTCTAAACATTTCTTAGGCTAGGTCTACGCTACCAGCCTGAATCGGCGGGTAGAAATCAACCTCTCGGGGATCGATTTATCGCATCCCGTTGGGACGCAACAATCGATCCCCGAATCGACGCTCTTACTCCACCAGCGGAGGTGGGAGTAAGCGCCGTCGACGGGAAGCCGCAGAGGTAGATTTTGCTGCTGTCCCTACAGCGGGGTAAGTCGGCTGCCATACGTCAAATTCAGCTACGCTATTCGCGTAGCTGAATTTGCGTATCTTAAATCGACCTCCCCCTGTAGTGAAGACCTGCCCTGAGATTGTAAGCTTATTAGACTTGGGTGTCAGGACCGCAGCTATTGGGGTGCAGGGTTAAGGCTAAGGCCCGGGTTGGAGGGGACTTGAGAACATGGTCTGAGGTCAGTCTAGAGGGTTAAGGCCAGAAGCAGCAGTCCGTACCAGTGTCATGTCATAGGATCAGGTCGTAGTTGAGGTCAATGAGCTGCACCGGGTTGAAGTCAAATGAGCCAGCCGAAGTAGGGTTAGTGGAACCAAGGCAGAGGGAGGCATTAGAAGTGGAGCAGGGGATCAGGAACTGAGGTGCCAGGAGCAGAGCAGGGGTCCAGCAGCGAGGCCAGGTGTCAAGAGCAGGGCTAGGGTCAGAAACCAGGAGCAAGGTAAGGTATCAGGAGTGTGCAGCACAATCTGTTTGCAGCAGCAAGCCAGGGACCCAAATAGTTGTGCAGACAGCCTCCAGATGTTTATCCTAGACCTTAAATAGCATTCTTGTGCCAATCAGGGAACACAGTAGGCTTTGCCACTCAGGACTTCTATAGATGGGACATCCTGTATGCTTGAACCTGTAGGGCTCATAATCTGCTGTTCCATGCTTCACTGGATCTGTTGGGTAGCAGTGTGGATGGAACCAGCAGACCTGGGTTCCAGAGCCCCAGCTCCTCACATGGGGATTGTGTCCAACTGGCTACCTCTGTTTATATGCAAGTTTCTTCTAAACATCTTAGGTTGTAAGCTCATTAGACTGGGGGTTGTCTCTACCTGCCTACTTATATTTGTACAAAACCTAGCACAGTAGGGCTAATCAGGGCCTCTGTATGCTTTAATATTAAATTATGCAAATTGCTGATCTTCATTCTGCCTCAAATTTCTGAATGTGCATTCTTGCTTTTTATTAAGAAATAAAACATAATAAATATAAATTAACAAAGAGAAGACAAGAAGAAATTATGTTTTGGCTATTTGATTGCCCTTTATTCTGCTAGGACATGAAGACTGATAATTCAACATTTTTAGTCTGTTTCTGTAATAGTTTTAGTTTACTAGACATTGATATTTGCACTGCTATATAACCCTTTCTTGGCCAAGTGTTCTGCACAACACTTCCTAGTAAGTCCTTTCAGGCAAAAATAAAATATTTCAACAGGAATACATTTTTTTTCTTTGAAACTGATTAGGTTGTGCAACTTTTGGAAATAAAGCCAATAAGATGAATGCTTTTTCTTATTATAGAATTGATTCTTTCCTTACTAAGAAAAATAATGAATTTTAATAATCCTAAGCGTGAATTTGATGAACAAGGAACTGTGACATGTTCATGGAGGTACACAAAGAGTATTTTTTTTTTCATTACTTTCCAGCACCAAGTATTTTTAAAGCTGGTAAAACCCGAGGAGAAGTTCAGGGGGCAGCAGAGGTACAAGAAGACAAAAATCTGAAAGTGGAGATGCCTATCGATCAGGTAAATTCAGGGCAAACTTATTGCCCTCTAATAAATTTATTGGTATAAAATATTCTTGGTCCTTTAAAACAGGAAGAAATAATTTAATTAGCATATCCCCTCTCGCCCTCTGTCTGTCTTTGACAGGAATAAGGTAGAAATAGATTTCCTGGAGTCTCTGGGCAAAAGCAGCTCTTTGTTTAAGTTACTGTAACTATTATATTAGAAAAATTAGTGAGACCTGACTAAGCTATTAGTCTGTAAAAATCCCATGGTTGAAATAAAGATAGAAGAAGTGAAACAATTTGTTGTATGATCTTCCTCTTTCTTTACAGCTTGCTGAATTATACATATCAAAGCATATGTCTTCTCTATCAGTCTTAATGAAAAAAATCAGCAAGCTTTAAATAAGGCCTTGTCTACTTGGGGTCTTAATTTGCACTGATTTTTCTTGCACATTGATTGGTGCATATTAGACAGTCTGCAATAATTGTGCATCCACTGTAAAATATTTTCTGCTTCAGTACGGATCTGTGTGTATACATGGCATGGACTTCGGGCAGAGTAGGTGAGCAACATTCTGTGCAAGTATCCCAGAGTGCTTTGCTTTGCTGCTGTTCTGTATGCATTCTTTGTGGGGGACGGATAGCTCAGTGGTTTGAGCATTGGCCTGCTAAACCCAGGGTTGTGAGTTCAATCCTTGAGGGGGCCATTTAGGGATCAGGGGGGAACCCCCCCACCACAACAACAAAGAAGTCAGGGACAGTACTTGGTCTTGCTAGTGAAGGCAAGGGACTGGACTCAATGACCTTTTAAGGTTCCTTCCAGTTCTATGAGATAGGTATATCTCCATATATTATACTATTCTGTGACTTCTCTTGCTCTGAGTTGTGGGATATTGTAGCACGGCATGCACTCACCGCCGCAGCACCTCCTGCTGGTCATCCAGGAATTAGCCCATCCCAGCCTCCGAGCGCCTCCTGCTAGCGTCTCCCTACTGGTACCTGCTTCCTGGTCAATCTCCACCACTTATAGTACTTCTGACCCCACATCCCTCATCGGCCTGCAGTGCCCCTTCTCCTGGGTATTGCCCGCGACAGTACCCCCCACACTCAGGGCTCCTCCCTTCCCCAGGGAACCCCAACTCCTTAAGCCCACCTTGCCTCAGTGACCCACTCCCAGTCTTTATCTAGCCCCTTCCCTCACGGGCAAACTGCAGTCTGAAGTGGCCACTCATCATCAGCCAGGGGGTTGGACCTGCTGCCTCTTCCTTCCCTGGCTGCTCCCCACAGCTCCAGTACCTCCTCAGGCGTAGGAAGCAAAGCCTCAGCCTGGGAGTTCGCCAGGCTGGAGCGCCGCCTGTTCCTCCCACCACTACTCTGTCCAAGGTACCCCCTTCTGCTTGCAGGCAACCAGTCTTTCCCTCTCCAAGGCTGGAGAGAGACAGACTACCTTCTGGCCCTGCAGCCCTTTGATGGGGCCCACCTGGCCCTGATTGGCTACTTCCCAGCCTTTTCTGATTGGCTCTAAGCCCCAGCCCTTTCCAAGGGCTGGCTTTTAACCCTTTCTGAACCAGAATGGGATGACTGCCCCGCTTATAGATACATAGCAGAAGTTAGCTGGGAGTGAGTGGAATTGTGGGACTTGGGGATAAGCTCAGCAGTGCCCGTGATTCCTCTCCTGCCATCTCATTCATTTCTTGTGGGCAAGCCTGTTCCATTTTCAAAACATCCGGCATTTTGTCTGCTATCCTGGAATAGTGCTCCAAGTTGTGATGCTGCCAACTGCCAACACACAGAGACTGGTGGACATTTATTTGAGATCTCATCGCCAGGTGACTGTGGCTTTGGATGTTATATGCTGAGCACTTTTGGCAGCTGCAACAGCGGCTGTACCAGCAGCAGTGGAAGGGAATC